GGGCATTCCAAGCATCATCTGATGACACTTGGCAATTTCTGTTCATGCCTTGGCCAAAAGCAGCGAAACGGGGCTATTTAGCGCCACGTGAAGAGGTCGCTAGTCCAACACCCAAACCACAAAACCACACTAGCTCTTTAGAAGCACCTTTAAACAAGATTTCTTTTGTTGCCATGCCACTCTTTGCTATGGATTTTGTTTTTGTATCCTTACCTCACTGGTTAATAGAGTATTTATGAAATCGGATTTGCCATGACAAATTGGTCTCTGCAGTCAATAAGGGAGAAATAGTTTATCACATTAGCAGCGTGTGTCTGTATGTAAACTACACTAGTAATGATCTCATTAACTTATATTTGTAATACAAAAGAAAGTGAGGCTTATTGTTGTTATATTATTGTTATAGTCAGACTGTTTGCTTGTACAAAGTAAAGAACCACTAGCTTTTCAATATTGCTCAACACATAACAGCAGTTAGTTGATGGTAAATGGTTCTCAGTAAAACACTCTAGGCAGTCAAGGAAATGTGGCCGGTATCTCAATACATTGCTTACTGTTGTTTTGTGTCAATCAACTTGTATATTGTTTAGGTCTGGAGGAAAGGAACTGAACAAGCAGGATTTTGCACTGCTTTATATGATAAAAATTAGACAAACCTCTTCCAGAGTTAATTAAGCTCATATGCTTAAGGTGGGATGCAACCTCTCCCAGTCCCACTTCAATAGCTAAAGGCCTTGTAAGTACAAAAAGTAATTCGGTATAGGTATCATTGGTTATGCCACTTCCCAGGTCTAGCTTGAATGCTTCCAGGTAGAAAATCAAGCTTTCCACAAATTGGCTAGGTTTGGATATGTCATATCCTGTTGTGATATTGTTAACATTTGAATGAATAATTCTAAATACTAATTCCAGCATGCTGTCTGCCAACCCAATGGTCCTGAATAACAGTTAATCTTGGCCTTTCTATGGAAAAATATTAACTCATTTTCTAGAGTCATGAGACAGGAATAGTTGAAATCACTGTCCCATCTCTTAGCATCTTTTTTTTAATGTCAGGAGTGGCTTGAGAAACCATCTCCGAGCATCTTGTTGACTAAGGAAGGTACATTTCTGCCATGTGGGTGGCTGATGGGATCATCTTTAAAGAGGAACAGTCTTAATGAAGGGCTTTGCTATCTAATCATAGAAAACCAATATATTGAACCATCGTTTTACAAAATATTTCATCTTCCTAATCGTCTGACTCCTTCATCCATCCCCCCAACACAGACGAGTACACACAACTCCCGTGGGTAGCTGATGCATAGTATTGCTTTTGACTGGGTTGATCATTAAACAGTGCTGTCAAGAAGTATATCTGATGAGTGCAGGAGTATCTGGTGGAAATCACGAGGCACTCATGCAGCGTTCATTCATCTCGCTTAGTTTCACTGTACTCCTGCTCCATTTGTCTGTCCGAGGCCCGTGATGCTAATAGCGGGGCTGGTGGCTTTCCTCTGGCTCTCTTTCCACCTCCTCTGTTTCTTGCATGCTTCTCTCCCTCCCTCCTTCCCCCCTCCCTTTTGCATGGCTGATGGATATGCAGAGTATGTGGGATGAAGCGAGCAATACTGTCACCGAACTGATGGTATTCAGTGACTCCTCTAGCTCTTGGCTGGTCTGTACTGCAGGAGCCTGACACCCTGACCACTGAGGCATAAAAAACAGAGAATTGGAAGCCTCAGCCTGTCAGGCAATAGAGCGTCCCCCAGAGAGGCCTAGAGATGTGTGTGTATGTGAATGTGTATGTGGTGTGTGTGTGTGAAAGAGAGGGGGGATAACAGGGAAGGAAGTAGAGGTGGAGGTGGTAGTGGGAAGAAAATCAGGGAATTAAATGTCAGCTTACTTCTATGATACTTGTGCAAGAGTGTCGGTGATTGTTAGAAAAAGTGCAGCTTCCTCTTGCTTAGCAATGCAAAGTCAGGGAGATGACACTGCCAACCACTGCTTCAGGAGTGTAGAAGAGATATAGCTGGGACTGGAAAATGAGAACTGATGAAAAACCCTCAGTAAATTCTGCCTGTTTTGGACCTCTTTCTTCAATGGTGTAACTCCTTGTGCAGAAGTCATAGGGCAATGGGAACCATGCATTTCCTGGGACAGTTTTAAGCCCATTGACTTACACGTTTTGGATTTTGTATGTATACATAAAGAAAATTCACCTGCTCCATAATTGTGAAGGATTTTCCCATTAGGTGATACTAGCATTATTAACCACCCTGACCTCTCATGGGAGTATTTGCTGTGTGATAAAACGAATCTCTGAACTTTAAACTATTATCTAGAAACAAGAGTGTCTTCTAAGAATATATAATGTTCTTAGTGTCTTCTAAGAATATCTAATATATAATGAAAAATTATAATTCGAGATATGTATATTTCAGTGTTCTTGCACATTTTTGTTGTAGTTAGATTATTAGACAAATTCAGGTAAAATTCATCATGCTAGTAATATGAACAATAGAAAGGATGCAGAAACCTGGGTGGTGATGCAGTCATCAAATGTATTTCTGTGTTCAAATAACTCCTATACAGTGAGGAAGCACTAACTCTTAAATTCTCTAGATAGGGAGCTGAGCATATCACTCTTTTATATCCTTAAACATTTTGATGTCCTATAAGGTTTTCTACCAAGTACAACTGCCAATGGACAATGGGTTGAGGTAGAGAATGATGGAGTCACCAGTGATCTCAGATAAGAGAAATAGAAGCTCAAGGACAAGAAGATGGAGTTTTGCAGGCTCAACTGAAGGGCATGTGGGAGTCAAATGTAGCACTAGGTTCCAGTCAGGGCGCACTACAGATGTTTTTAGATGTTTAGTCTAGTTCTTGTCTCTTTGCTCAAGAGCAAAAGATGGCATTTTTCTGTGTGATCTTAGTAGTGTGGTTATAGCATTAAAAATAAAGTGTTTTACCACTTTCTTTGTGTGATGTGGCTCCTAAAATCTGATTAAACACACCAATCTCTGTTCTACCTCTCTTCCCTTAAAGGAACTGTTGCTAATTCATTTAGTAGATGATGGGAATATTATTGATAGCATTTATCTGGTACTACACGCACAAAGGACCATGGGATTATTATACATCATAAGTTGACCATGTGCAAAGGTTTTAAGCTACAGTAAAGAAGACATGCCATTTTAGAAGCATTTATAGAAGCAAACTTTCCAAGTCTCCTTATATTTTGCATTGGTCAGGCCTAACCTGGAGTACTTCTGGGTGTTTCATTTTAATAAGGATACAGACAAGTTGGACCAGGTTCAGAGAAGGGCAAGAAGAATGCTAAGAGGTATGGAGAATAAAACACGAGGAAAATCAGAAGGAACTAGCACGTTCAGCTTGGTTAGGAGAAGACTGACAAGTGACATGATTGTACCCTTTAAATAACTCAAGGACTGTCCCAGAGAGAAGACAGGCTTGTTCTCTTCTGCCTAGGACTGTAGGAAAAGATGTAATAGTTTTACATTACAGGAGACTAGATTTTGATTGAACATTAGAAGTAACTTTTTAGCAGCAAGAGCAGTTTGGCAATGGAACCAACTGCCTAGTACGGTGGTGTGGTCCCCTTCTCTGGACGTTTTCAAAAAGAGACTGGACAGCTACCTGCTTGAGGTTTTAGTTGGAGATCCTGCACTGAGGAGTGGTTGGATGTGATGGCCCATGAAGCTTCTTGACAAAAATATAACATAGCTGTCTATCAAAGCAAGTGAGTAAGGCTTTGTGAAAGACAATAGCAATTACACCAGTGATTGTTAAATTACTTGGAGGAGCAACATGGAGTCACCTTCAAATAAATGCCGGAGCATCATCTGTGGTGAGGGTTCCTGTCATGTGGTGCAATGTGAAATAAGTTACTTGTCTGCCACTTCCCTGTGACAAATCTGATTGGGTGCTATTAATGACCATGCCATGGGGCTACAGCCTACTTGTGTGAAGATCTCCTGATCCATTTCTGTGCTAGCATGCTATCACAGAAATGACATCTGGGGTGGGACTGTCTTTCTGCCCACTCCCGTCACCTTAATTGGTATAATTAAATGTATATTTTAACCTAAACTGTGCAGTACAGGCAGACTCTGAGTTACGGATATCAACTTACATCCGACCCCTAGGTAAGAATGATGAGACTTTCTGTTGAGAGGAAATCTACCTCTAGAAAAGAAAATTCACTCCTGGAAGTATTATCATGGGAAAAGGTGTCTCTACTGAAGCTTTCTCACCAATCCTTGTTTCCACGACAAGCCAAAATGTTGAAAATGTAATTGTCATGGGGACAGAGGTGTTCTCTTTTTTATGCTATCCAAAGCTTTAAAAATATCTGAAGTTACACTTTCAAAGCATACCAACTTAAATGCAACTTTAACTTAAGAACAAACCTACAGAATCTATCTTGTTCATAATCATAACACTACCTGTGTTTCTACTACACAGGTAGAGGATTGTTTCTATTTACATACATGTCTTGCTAGATTGGAAGAAACATATACAAGCTCTGATTAGTGGTCCAGTTTTTTGAGCACATCGGAAACAGAAACTGAAAAACTAAAAATGGTAGATGGAAATTGCATTCCGTTGAATTTAATTTACAAAGATTGCTATTTGGACAGTTAAATGCTTTCCAAATCACACACAGAATTTCTACTCACCAAAATGCATGTTCTTTATAGTACAGTTTATTTACTGCTGGCTTATAAGAAACTATCCAAAATGAAAACTTCAGTTATAGTACAGAGCTGAAAATATAATGCCTAGAAAAACCTGTGGTAGTCTTGAGGTACATAATGTTCTCTTCTGAGCAGGTCTTTACAACTACACACACTCATCAATCCTTCACATTTCATTTTTTATGTTTGTGTACTTGCCAGAATGCAGCATGTTTTCAACAGTCTCTAATTTATTTAATTTTGGTTGTCATGGTTTAACTCATTACCTTTTTTTGTCTCCTTTTCTCTTTAATCCAGGGAGTGAATTTTCTGGCAGTCCATACAGCCACCCGCAATATTCAACATACAATGACTCTTGGAGATTTCCTAATCCTGGATTGTTAGGTAAGATCACCCCCTCACCCTGCTTTTACAACTGATTACACACACAAAAACAGTTATATCAAGAAAACTCTATTAAGGTTGCCACCCAAAAAAACAAAAACACATATGCATGAAGAGACAGGTTTCTGTGTTGATGTTATGTTTTCACCAAAGTGGTCAAGAGAAAGAGGAGCTAGTATCTAGATGTAAAAAAGTATACTCTATTTGAGATAGCAAGCTCTTCAGTGTGGTCTGAGCTGGTTTAAAACACGTAAGCTAAGAAGAGGGGGAAACCATTCTTTCTAAGAATTTTGTTCATTTACGTGGAAATTTTCACTCCTCTTTTTGAATAAGTATTTTCAGATATGTATGTGCAATGTGATTTAAAACAAACTATTTTTTCTACAATATGAAGTAATGGTGTTTTGCATATGATCAATAATAATAATAATAACAACTTTATTTTATACCCAACAAAACAACAAGACATGTCCAACAAAACAACAAAATGCCCAATCATAAAGCTTTTATGTAAATAAAGAAAAATCTAGTCCTATAAATTTCTATCCAAGTTTACATACTTGGAACAAACTAGACTCTGTAGAGGGTGACCTCCCAATTTGACTCCTTTCTATGGAAAGTTCAGCGAAGTCTGTGATTGATTTCTTATGTTTGGAGTTTTCGGAGCAATTTTTGCTATTTCAGCTTTAACAAGGTTATTGGTATGTATATGTGTGAACCTGCAGGACACCTGTTGACTTATAGTAACTACACGAATTTGAAAGGATCTCTGTAATAAGGAAATTGTATGGCCGCAGTATGGAGAAGATGGATCCATATTAACAGTAGACAGAGAAAAGACAGAAATACTTTACACCTCTTTTGTTTTGGTCTTCTCTCAGAAAGAAAACAGTACTCAATCAGGGGAAAATGAAGCAGATGATGCAGCAGGGGAACTGCAGGACAGAACAGATAAAGAAGTAGTACAGGAATGTCTACCTATGCTAAATGAAGTCAGTTCTCCATGGCCAAATTAACAACATCTGGGGTATTAAAAGAATTACATCCAAGGGTATTACTGGTAGAATCATTGGCAATAATCTGAGAATTTCTGTATAACAGGAGAAGTCACAGCAGACTGAAGAGGGGCAAACATTGTCCCCATCTTCAAGAAGGGGTAAAAAGAGCACCCAAGGAGTTACCATCCAGTCAGCCAGACATCAATACCAGGAAAGATTTTTAAAACTTAGCATGTCAAATGCTTTCAGGTCATTTCTGATTTACATAGACCCAAAGATGACTCTATCACAGGGGTTTCTTGGTAATTTCTATTCAGGTGATATTTGTCATTGCCTTCCTCTGAGACTGAGAAAGTGTGACTTGCCCAAGGTGTTTGGCATGGCAAAGCAGTGGGGACTTCCTGCTGCCTCCAAGGCAACTCAGGCCGTCCCTATCAGACTGCCAAGCAGACTCAATTTGATGTCAGTATGCCAGATCAAGACCGATTGGTGGGTTCAGTGTAGAACTGCCCTTAGAGTCATGTGATATTTCAAACTGTTGTATGTTTCTTGATCCAAACCACTATCATAGTTTGAATTTGCTTTGCTTCAACAAATGATCATCACATATCATGATGACTGGCAGTTAATCCAAAGTGCAAGCAGACTTAACACTACGCAGCTAGACTGGAGAAGTAGTATGTTAGCCTGATAATTGCTGTGAGTTGTATTCTAAAGTTTAGCATTTTCTGGAAGGGCAGATATGAGTTATAGACCAAGAAATTTAGATGAAAGGTGAATGATGAAGCTCATTCTATATCTTTTGAGTTTCCATTGGAGAGTGAAAGCTTCTATTTTGGTTGGGCTTTGGGTTTCTAAATTAGAAGTGTTTGGTCTAGCAGTTTTTAAAACTGGTTTTGGAACTGTTTCCTTAAAAACAGTCTTTAAATCTGTTTGAAGAGCTATATATAAAGAGAAGCCTCGAGTGCTTTAATCGGTTTTTGTTATTTATTTAAAGTTTTCAAAGTATTTCTGCCTAGTGATCAGTTTACCATGTTTACCTCTGAGAACATGGTAAACTGAAAAGTGCATATGTCCGTCCGTCCGTCCGTCCATCCATCCATCCATCCATCCATCCATCCATCCATCCATCTATATCTCTATCTATCTGTCTGTATGTCTGTCTGTCTGTCTGTCTGTCTGTCTATCTATCTATCTATCCATTCATCCATCCTGAGCAGTGTAGGGGATCATTCTGCAGTGATGTGGTAAGGTATTTTCCCTTCCCAGAGCTCCAGGTTACTTATGGTTGACAATAGAACAACATAAAAAAATACATCTTATGGGAAGTTGAAGTATTCCTCTAACAATCTTAAACACCTTTAACAGCTATCGACTCTATGTAGTTTTTGCTGTTATGTCTGGACCACAGAAACAACAAATAGTATTGTTTCATTCTTTCATTGCCGAACAATGTGCTCTTGGGAGGGGAGAGAAAGTGAGGGCGAACAGACCATGCATGAACAGTTCTTCCTTGGAACAAAGATATATTTCTCCATATTGAACTCTGGATACATCCTTGCTGTACATTCTGCAGTATTCATGATGCTATTACAGTTAAAGAAAAGCCACCTAGCTTCTATAGTTCTAAATGAATGCCTTTCTTCCAATATCTGACTACTCAATCTTTTGTCTTTTTCTTACGGATTTAGGGCTTGGGGCATGCAGTAGGTGTTCTGGCAACATTTAATTTTTAGAGTAAAGCAGAATTCCATTGGTTCTGAAAAATCTCTCTGTGGGCCCTTGACTTCTGCCATAGTAAATCCCTGAGTAGTCCACCCCTCCCTCATTTTAATAAGGAGAATAAGCAACATCCATTTTACACCACTGTCAAAGTCTGGCACACCCTGACCTTACATGTGTGTAGCACATGGTGATTAGAATTCTCCTGCATAATCTATGTGGATGAGGTAAGTAAAATACCAATTAATTGTCACCTCTCTAGCAGAGAGATATTGTGCCTTAGAGACTTTCAGATTTATGGATGGCAAGGTTGTTATGTGCGACCTCTAGCAGAGAAATAATTTTGAATTTTTGTCATTTTTAAAAATTCAGTTTCTTTGTTTTAAGTAATTGAGTCCCTAAGTAATTGAGCCACCTAAGCTCTACCCATCACATTTCTTGCCCTTAAACAAATCCTTTGGGAGCAATTGATGGGCTACAGCTTTTGGTGTCACACTGCTTCTTAGAGTGCAAATTGCCATTTACTATGCTATAGTGAAGGGTGTGTTGTTGCCAAAATCAGAAGCTCTTTTCTATTGCAGTTTTATTTCAGCTGAGATTCTACTCAAAGCCAGTTTCCAATGTGCTGAAATTCCAAGTCCCAAACAGTAGGTTTCGGGATCAAGCTGTGAGGTTACAGAAGGCATGAAGGGTAGCTCTTGGGGCTGTTACTCACTTACATGGATATTTCCTGATTATTCATGACTTGATAATTTTGCATTTGATGGCTTACAAGGTACAAGGACTCTCACCCAATAGAGTGGATCATAGCAAATTGAACTGTGGATGGTGTCACATTTTAAAAATATTCTCGCCTGCAAAACTCTTTGCAAACAAAAACAAGGCCTAGTATATCTAAAAGTATTAAAAATCTCTGTTTATATTTTATTGCATTTTTTCAAATCCCAAGTATACTTGCTTTCCACCTTTGTTTAAAGTGGCCATGTGATTTTGTGGATGGTTTGGATGGAAAGCTTAATGATTTTGTATTTTATGTCATATATACAATTTCACCATTGACCGGACTGTTTGTACACATTTATATTTCTTTTTAGCTGTTCACATTTTAGAAAGTGTTTGCACAAATGAGCAAATTTTAGAGGTGAGGTGTGTGTGTGTGTTTGCAAAATGTCTTGGCAAGTGCAGAAAAAGGCTATTTATTTGAAAACAGTTGACAAAGTTCTTTTCCATCCTGAAATAGAGAAAAGTCTGAACTCTGCTCAGGCGCACACACCTGCGTTTTTACTGATGATAAAAAGGTAAAGGTTAAGGTTTTCCCCTGACATTAAGTCCAGTCGTGTCTGACTTTAAGGGTTGGTGTTCATCTCCATTTCTAAGCCGAAGAGCCAGCATTGTCCATAGACGCCTCCAAGGTCATGTGGCCAGCATGACTTCATGGAGCGCTGTTACCTTCCTGCCAGAGTGGTACCTATTGATCTACTCACATTTGCATGTTTTCAAACTGCTAGGTTTGAAGAAGCTGGGGCTAACAGTGGGAGCTCACCCCGCTCCCCAGATTAGAACCTGCGACCTTTCGGTCAGCAAGTTCAGCAGCTCAGCACTTTAACCCACTGCGCCACCTGGGGCTCTTTTTTACTGATGATATCCTTTGCCGATAAATTCTTCAAAGGCTCCCAGTTCTTTTCACCTTAGTGAGATCATTCTGTACCTTTCTATATACAGTATAGGAAGGTACAGAACTATAGTTTTTAAATCTGGAGAAAAGTGAAATCTTGGCTGTGGAAGCAGGAGTTTGGCAAGTAGAAGTTAAAGCGCAATAGACTCTCACTGACCAAGTAACCTAGATTACAATTTTGGGTTGGTGCTAGGCTATGCCATGTTATGTTTTATATGTTTACATGTGTTAATTGGTTTTATTTGTATCTATATGCTTAATCGATTTTAATGGTTATTGTATATAGTTTTGTTGATATTTGTATACTTGTGGCATTGAATGTTTGCCAAAATTGGAAGCCACTCTGAATCTCCCTTGGGGTGAGATAGGGTGGGGTAGAAATAAAAGTAAGTTAATAAATAAATACTGTATTTATTCACCCAGTAATAGTATATCCTACAGCGGTTACTGAAGTAAGATGTGTAACTAAGCCAAACATGATAGATTTTCTAAAATGTGACTCTTTTTTAATGTTAATTTTTATTTGAGAAAATCTCAAAATAAAACATGCGAACAAGCCCATTTAGATGTACTGTATAAAACAACGTAACTACATACTATCCACT